TAATATAAATTGACAAGGTTATATACAGTGATTTTGGAGGATGTACAGCCATTTACAGAACTTATTTGATAGGTATTTTTTTTTTCAAATTTTAATTAGCAGAGGTTATATACCGTTCAGCGAAATATTTTAAGTATTGGAATAAGACCTTTTTGCTCAAAATAACCTCTTAAATAAGTTCCGTAAGAGGTTGTACTCCTCCCGAATCTAATCATCCTGTATATAATAATATAAAACATTGTTTTTTAAGCAGAATTTAAAATTTGCCTTTCTTAGGAAAATTTTTCAAATTAGTTTTGGTTTCTTGATATATGACAACACTAAACACGGGCAATTCCTCCCCGGGGAGGTCTTATTATAGAAAATTGGCCCCTATTTAGGTGTTACAAATTCCATGTGGCCAGCCCATTGACCATTGAACCAACTACCGGCATTCAGTGGTTTTATGAACTTGGCCACCGATGGCGCGAGTAATTTTCATACAACATATCTGAGAGTACAAACTTTTTAACTTTCACACTTACTTCAAATCGAGTCGCTCCTCCTTTTTTGCATTTTGCATAAAAAATGAATACAACATACTAACACCTTGAGACAACATTGTTATTTCTAAGTTATAATTATCCTAAAGGAAAAAAAATAAATAATAAATTTTTTTATTGTCATTTCGCTTGTAAAATGTTCATATTTTATCAAAATAAATATTTACTTCAAAATACTGCAAGAACCTCCGTAATGTCATTTCTCCCTGCACTTCAAATCGATCCCAAAGAGTGAATTCCGTGTTATGATACTGAAAATTCAAAATAAATTAAAAAAAAACACACACAATAATATACGTACGTAAATATAAAAAGATAAAATTCCCATACACTCAGTTTAGGAGCGGCAATTGGCTCAGAAAAGGCAAAAAACGGTAAAGCCAAGTTAACAAAGCCATTCTTATAGGAACTTAATTTTTTATGCTGTTGAACAAGCTGAAAAGAAAGAACAATTCAGTTTATCATCACCACCGTCGACATTGTTTTTATTTCAGAATGCTTACTTTGTATAATTCCAAACAAGCTAATCCTGAAACCAAAGCTGTTGTTGTAGCAATGGCAGGAATTATTTTTCCAGCTATTAATTTACTCCTATGACGATCTGCAGGTGGAATATCGTAATTCTCTGCTCTCAAATTAGATGCCGCTACAATAAAATCCATGTGAAAGTTAGAATCATCATCCTTTTCAAAATCAATTGGATTAATTGAAACTCTTCCCATATCTTGTTTTGTAGGTAACTGCTCTTGAATCTGATTAAGGCGATCGTTATCTGTTATCAAAAAACGTGAGATTTAGATTAACGTTTCAAAAATGTCTTAAGTAAAATAAGATATATACCCGTCACAGAATTCTCTTGATTAGCTTCATTTTCGGAGACAGCAATTCTCACACCGGATCTGGGGGAAAATTCAGGCACCTTTACAGTAGTAACGTAATTTGAAATGTATTCTCTATCTGTATTTTGCGGTATTCCAAACATAAAAGCTCTTAAATTTGCAGCTGCTACAATAAAATCTAAATGAAGATCCTGAAATAAAAACATTAAAATTAGTAAATGATAACTCTTCAACATCTAACTACCAGAGGTGCAGGATGTGTCGATCGCACAAACGTTTGGGAGAAACAGTAAATTATGTGCGCTATCCTGTGAAGATGTGCTTAAAGGGTTTTTCTAATCTCAAAAAATTTACATTAATTTATCAGTTTAGTGTTAGTGTTATGCATAATTATATGGTAGACTATTTATTTGTACGATATATTTAAAATACTTTATTTTCTATGGTAATGTGCAACAAATTTCAGGAAAATTTTGCATGTAAAATTTATATTCTGGGGAAATTTTGGGTCGCAAAAATATTCTGCATAGTTACTATTATTCAAAATGTTCATAAATAGTTAAAATAATCTATAATTTAGGATATATAGAATTAAAATTTAAGATATTGTATTTACATTAAAAACTTACATTATTAACATTAAAAACGAGAGGATGAGGACATCTTTTGGGTCCCGACCAGAAAGGAGCACCAGAATTTGTCAGCTGTAATATATTTTTTGGATTAGACTTTATCTTAATCATTTCAAATTTACTCAATATAATACTAGTTTTAATCGTACAAAATATACTATATTAATACCAACAACAATTTATTAATAAAATTAAGATTATTATTTGCAAAAGTACAAGATAGTTTTTCTATATTACATTTAACCCTTTTTCAGAGTAAGTTATAGAGCAATAATATTTCAACGAGCAGTATTAACATTAGCACAAGATGGTGGTCTAATGACACAATTAAGACACCATCTTGTACTAAAGTTAATTAATTATAATCAATTAATACAATTATGAAATTTTATTAATAATTAGCAAAATTACAGTCCAAGAGTAATGCGCTTTTCATTGAAGTGTTTTAAAAGTATAATTCATATCGAGGAAAGAAAAATTTAATTGGCAACTTCTATACAGGAAGCTCTGTTCATACTTTCCTCAATGAATGTTTCTTGCAATTAGACATTAAATATTTCCTGCACTGTACTTTCTCCATAACGAAAACACTTCAGTTAAACGTCTTGTTTATAAGATCTCACTTTTGCGACTCATTTTTTTGTAATCTACAGCAATTTCTTACTGTTATTCTCTTTGAAGTTGAAAAATTTAAAGCAATTAATAAAAATGAAAAACAAGTTAAGTAATTGCTCCAGGTTAGTCCACACTGACAACAAATTACCAGCGAATGAAAAAAGCAGAGCAAATATGTAACACGATACTGCTCCCCGACAAAATTTCAACAAGAGAAAATTGATTTCATACACTGGTATAATTAATCAAGTATATTCAGGCCTTGACTTGTTATATTCCAGTCTAGGAAAACTTTATTAGAAAATTTTTGTAGATTTCAATGAACTGTCTGTGGTACAAATTATACAAAATTCAGTGCACTGATTGACTAGCGATTGTAATCATCAGCAAAGTTATAACCTTTCATCTCCTGTACAGTTTGCTGGCCTTAAAATAAGTGTTTGGTACAATTAAATAAAACTAACTGTTTCAACTTTGTGTTCTCCTTTTAGAGATGACAAATGCCAATACATTATGCTGTGCTAGGTAAAACCAGTTAACCCATGCATGATTTTTCTAAAAACTTTTGCAAAGACATTAGTGCACGAGTTTGATATTAGAAGTATACTAAGAACAAAGAATAGTGTTTGTGTTTCAAGTCAACCAAGGGTAGGAATAGCTTGGAAAGACTGGAGTCATATTGTGTTAATCATAAAGGATGGTTTTATACATTTTACACAAAGATGTAGAACTGTGTCTAGGAGATTGAAAAACTGTCCAATAAGCTAGCATATTTGATAAACTATCACTGCTGGGNTAGCCAATCTTACCTGTTTTCACAGAATGCCGATAATTACATTATAGCCTATAATGTAATTATCTTAATCTTCGCTATCATTACTTTTTGCCCAGCGAAGTGGGTCCTTGCAGCTAGATTCTAGATTACTTAGAAAAACAGTCTTTTATATATATAAAAACTATATTACATACAAATAAAAACCCAGCAAAGCAGTCCTTGCAGCTAGTTTAAAATAAAAACATTTTAATGAGAAATGCTAAGATGATATTGCAATTTTAAAATATTGGAAATTTGTCCTGGATGACACAAAAATTTGAAAAGCATGGATACACAAGGGTTTACATTATAGTATAGTATTTTCTAGAACAACAACGAAGCCCAGGGCTCTGGAGCTTGTGTTTTTTGTCGGAATCATGTCATTTAGATCCCACTCCAGATTTTAACATTTAAGCCTAAAAATACAAATTTCTTCAGCTATTCACTAGAATATAGATGTGATTTTTACATTTACAAAATGTTTTGAATATTTGCTAATCTAAAAATTCTCTTACTTATATTTCTGAAATACAGTGGGTGATCAGTTAACGAACATAACCTGTTTCAAGACTGTTCGTTAACCAATTATCGATTTACGATAGGCTTTTATGGGAATTTGATTAATTCATTCTGGAGACCCCAAAAAATAAAAAAATATATACTTTCTTACTACGTTTATTTATATGTACTAATAAAAATACATATATGCACAGTCTTGCATTTTTTATTCATCAATCAAAATGTACGACTGTGTATATAAGTGTTTTTATTATGTTTTTTCTGTTCGTAGGGGTTAAAGAAACTGTCCAACGTCGATTGCTTTTCTCTCTTCTTTGGGATTTTTCAGAAGTAATTAATAGCATTGTAATTGTAGAGATTCCCAAGCCTATTAATCTCAACTTGGTTTGGATGCCATTCTAAGACCATTGTTCTGACATCCTCCCACTTCTTCAAAAGATCTTTAATAGCAGATGTTAACATTGATCATTTTTCATCTTCCTCTTTCTCAGAAAAAAACACATCTTGTTGAGTTTCTTGGTGGTGTTCATTTAAGCATTCTTGGAGTTCCTCTGCGTCAGATCAGTTTCAGATTCCATTATGAGCTCTTCAATGTCATCTTTATTCACTTCCAATTCCAGATCTCTAGCAGTTGTCTCAATTTCATGCATAATTTCAGGGACATCATCTCTCTCTCCCTGAATGCAGGAGGGACACATCTTTCGCCAAGCAGAATTCAACTGTTGTCGAGTGACTTCTGACCATCCCTTTTGAATGAGCCACATAGCTTCAAGAATATCAAATTTTTTTTTCCAAAACGTTTTTAATGTCACCATTGAGGAGAACTGGCATGCTTCAAAACACAGACGAAGCAGTGCTCGAATGTACAATTTCTTGAAACCTGCAATAACCTCTTGATCCATTGGTTGAATCAANCTTTTATTAATTTTAATAATTGATTTAAATACTTTAATGGCATGATAAACAATTACTGGCTCATGTTGAAAGTTCCTTCTTGCATAACTGTATCTCAATCATGTTTACATACCCCCTTTTTATCGTTTATCATGAAGTCACAGATCTTTTTTTTTTTTAATCAATCCATCAATCTAACATGAGCCAGTAATTGTTTATGATGCCATTAAAGTATTTAAATCAATTATTAAAATTAATAAAAGATAACTGCAAGATTTACACTAAATATAAATACACTTATTTTTTTGTTAATAATTTAATAAAAACACAGTAAGAAAATTAAAATGTAATAAAATCTTACAAAATTATAAATGTAAATTTGTATAAAAAGTATGAATTAATTTCAAAATATTATTTATAATAATGATGATTAAATAAAATTTATCATGCATATTTACAAAGCCAGAAAAATGTGAAATCTCTTGCACGCATCACATTAGCACCATCAAAATAAAATCCTCATTTTTAAATTTTGATTAAAAGCCAAAGGAAATTCATGTTTAAGGCTGTGTACACATTAGGCGTTTTTAAACGCACGTTTTAAAGAATCAAGAGTTCTGCATAGGCATACATGACGTGTGCTTTTGGCCAAGCGCGCTTCAAATGCGCATTGATAGATTTTTGTTAAAACTTGCGTTTTATGGGTGTCAGCCATGAGTTTTGAGATATATGTGCTGCCATGTTGTTGTACATTCGATCACATGCTTTCGTGTAGAGTGGACGTACGTTGGCCGAATTGGAGAACGATCATTTCGATACTGATCTATTTATTGATGAAATTTAAGAAAGACCAGCCACCGTCAAATGATTTTATAGATATTCTAAAAGAATTAAAAAATTTGGGTTCTTATTATCTTAGTTTTGGATACAATGTCAGAAACATTCCATGCGTCAGTCTATCTCGTAATATTAGGTGCACCCAAAATTTTCTTTGCCTCTGCCATCATCTTTTATAGCGACAATGGAGGAGGTACACACAAGCAATTACTTTCACGTCCATTTCCAAACTGAGCCAGTACTAATGCTCCACTAAATGGTCATCGAACGCCAAGCTAACGCGCGTTTAACGCAACGCAAAACGCCTAATATGTACACAGCCTAAAAGAAAAAAAAATCTAAGAATTTTATTACTTAATATAAAATATTACTTTAAAAAATGCTACAGAATAAAGCATAGGAAACATGATAGCATAGTTACTACAAATTAACACATCAACACCAAAAATCCATCAAAACATACATTTTAATAGACATATTAACATTTTCAACTGTTAAATGGTTATCATCAAGTTTAACCTAATAAATTTGAACAGTGATTGTAATTAGAACAAAATTTTTTAAACAAAAAGAACACATTGGTATGTTTGGCACATACAAAAAGAACAACGGTACAATTGATTGTAATGCTGTCCATCCCACCTGAATCCTGGAACCCATACGGTTTCTGAATTTTTATTCTATTTTTGTCACATGTAACATTGCAACTAGGGTTTCTCATTTCCCAGTATTTTGCTTGTCCCGGGATCCCGGGATAAAAGTGAACTATTTCCCGGGATCCCGGGAAATCCCGGGATAGAATTAATTATTTTTAAGGTATACAAAATATCTTGAAATCAAATGATATAATTATTTTCCATTTTTTAAAGTAATTTTAAAGTTCTGTAACCTCCAAAATCATATTAATAATGCTGTGTAAGGTCTATAGGCCTATAATAAAAATTACCTTTAAATAACGTAGAAATTTTCACAAATAGAAAAAAATTAATTAAAGTTTGCTGGAAACTGCATACAACAACAACAAAAAAAATGTTTTGAATTGAGTTAAAAATTAAAAAAATGAACTTCTAATTTAGAAGGTAATTTTCGTTTTTTAAATAAAATATAATACAAAATATTGCAAACTTTTATAAGATTTTAAAAAGCAAAGATGGTCAATACTCCGATAACTCACTCTAATTCTTATTTTAGTAATGAAAAGTCTTGCCACCGAGAATGCCCTTTCCGATTCAATTGATGTGATTGGAATAGTGTTTAATGCATTTAAGAGAAGACAGATATTATGTGTTTTTTCACCTGTAGCCTGGAAGATTTCGAGTTCGTTTTCGAGATTGTAGTACTTCTTTCGCTCTCTAGTATTCTTGATTTGTCTACCTTGGCTGCTTTAATAGCGGCATCAAGCTTAGAGCTCGATAATTCGGCAATTCATTTGGCTTTAATAATCAGGTTTATGAAGAAAAACTTCATACTTGCAGACTTTGTACTCGTTTGTATCCTTGCCCAATTTGCACAATCTGGCGTCAGGCATTTATTGAAGCTACTGGGCATGGTTAAAACTCAAGACAGCGTAAGCACAATTATTCCAGATATTACAGGTTCCGACAAGTAAAGAATTTTTATAGTCATGCCACAAATAAGCTATATATTGATTATTGACCATTTGTGACATGCTATAACGAGCAAAAATTTAAAAAAACTAATAGGTAGGTTTAAAATTAATAAATACAAATGTATTCTGGCAGTGAATGAGTTAATTATGCTTTCTATTTGCAAAACTCCTCAACCTTAACACAAAATAAGAAAAAAAGTGAATTTTTAAGAAATTTGCGGGATTTCCCGGGATAAGAAAAATTTCCCGGGATATTTCCCAGGTTAAAAAAACAACCGGGATCCTGGGATCCCGGAATCCTGTTTCAGAAACCCTAATTGCAACCAATCATACCAATGCTCTTTTTGTTTAAAAATGTTGTTCTAATTATGATCACTGTTCAAAGTTATTAGGTTAAACCTGATGATAACCATTTAACACAGTTGAAAACAGTTTGTTTATTAAAGTACATGTTTTATGTTAATTTGAACTTCATTCATTTAAGAGGTGTTTATTTATAAGGAAAATACAGTAATCAGTTAATTTTTGACTCACAGTGTTTTTAGTTTTTAATAGCTACAGCTAAATCATATATGTTAAAGTAGTTAATGATACTGAACTTTTTCATTGATAAATGATTATTAATTCAAATTTATCAAATTTGAAAATATAACAACTCAATGTTATTTTATTACATAAACTTATTTAAAATAAAATAATTACTTTTGAATTCAACATAAAACTGAATAAATAAAAGTTACTGTTAATATTTTATTAAAACGAAAGAAAATTTAGTTCAAATGAAATGTTAGAAATACATTAAATTTGTTCAGTTGGAGTTTAAAAAAGTATAATATAGGTAAAACACATGCATACAAACAGTATACTTCGTAACACATACATAAATATTTATTACATTGAATTTATTTTAATATGGATAAAGTCAACAATTATTAAAAATAGTTTTTAGTATCTTTTTTATAAAATTAAATATAATTAAATATTTTATTTCAACAAACAAATGAAAATAAAGTATTTAATAAATGTCAGTTACCTTATTTGGGAACAATGCCAACTACAACTGCTCAGACTACAACAGGATATAAAATAAAGTCTTCCTAGATATCAGTTCTACAAAGAATGTAAACATTATTTAAAGATTACAGATGGAAAACATTTTAAAATAAGTTCAAAAATACCTTTTAAATTAATACCATAAATAAAATAACTTATAAGAAAATGTGTTTCCAATATGAATAGAAATGTTTTAAATTTTTCATAGATTTTTCTATAAAGAAAATCATCAATAAAGCAGTGTATTCATATCATCAAAAATAAATGCTATTTAATACATTCTGAAATGTAATGCTTTTAATGATTAACTAAGATTAACAGTATATGACCAAAAAAAATTTGATTAAGATAAGCAATTCAGACGTCTGAAGTAGACTATTACCATAATTTCCTGTAAACAATTCAATTTATTATTGTTGTGTTTAACTTATCTAATAAAAAATAAGCTTTACGAAACCATTTTTCATAAACAGCATTGTTGAAGATTAAGGCATGATTCATTAACTAAGGCTAGCCTATGTTATTGGGTTGTTTGGAAAGTAAGTTCGTTTTCTTACGTAGAAAAAATAATATTTTTATAATAAATAAATATTTTATTGAATTATATATTGACCCTTTTGGACAAATATCTGTTGCCATTGTTTCTGGAAGTAGCATGATTCCATGTTCATAAAAGTTTGAATCTTTGAACTGATCCAAGTGATTTTTGACATTTTCATTTCAAGTAAATATTTTACAGTTTAAAAAATTTTGTATAGACCAGAATAAGTAATAATCTGAGGGTGCATGATCTGGCAAATATGGTTGGTGTGATAGCACATCTCATCTAAGCTGTAACAGTTTCTGATGAGTTACCAAACTTGTGTGAAATTTGGCATTATCATGGTAAAACACTACACCTTTTTTGTTGATCAATATACTTATATAACAAACAAACTGGATAAATATACTACTAATAAAACACACCTTTAATAATCCAGCTAATAAAAATTAATAATGTAAAAACATTTTTGATTGTTTCTTAACGATCTTCTTCAGTTACCATAACATAGAATGAAATCAAACACAAAAAAGAACGTAAATACAAAATTAAAATATAAATAACGGAAAAGTAGCTGTGTTGATAAAATAAACAAAAAATATAAATTAATCCGAAAAAATATCCCTTAACAAAAATAAAAATAAATAAAGTCATTAATTCTTGTAAAAGGATTGCCATGCAGTAGGTAAAGAGTCCGCATCTCTATGGTTGATGCAACCAGTTTTCTTGTGTGCCTTAAAGATCTCTAATTTCTCCAGATATTTCATTGTATGTNCCTGATCTGGCGAATATGGTTGGTGTGATAGCACATCTCATCTAAGCTGTAACAGTTTCTGATGAGTTACCAAACTTGTGTGAAATTTGGCATTATCATGGTAAAACACTACACCTTTTTTGTTGATCAATATACTTATATAACAAACAAACTGGATAAATATACTACTAATAAAACACACCTTTAATAATCCAGCTAATAAAAATTAATAATGTAAAAACATTTTTGATTGTTTCTTAACGATCTTCTTCAGTTACCATAACATAGAATGAAATCAAACACAAAAAAGAACGTAAATACAAAATTAAAATATAAATAACGGAAAAGTAGCTGTGTTGATAAAATAAACAAAAAATATAAATTAATCCGAAAAAATATCCCTTAACAAAAATAAAAATAAATAAAGTCATTAATTCTTGTAAAAGGATTGCCATGCAGTAGGTAAAGAGTCCGCATCTCTATGGTTGATGCAACCAGTTTTCTTGTGTGCCTTAAAGATCTCTAATTTCTCCAGATATTTCATTGTATATAAATTTGTCATAGGTTTAATTATTTCCGCCCGATCCCAATGGACTTGAATGTCGTGTTGTGTTGCGTAAGCCGGTAGCACAATGTTGTCAAGTTTCTTATTAATCGTATATTTATGCTCTTTGATACATTGCTGCAAGTTGCGCATTGTTGCACCTACGTAGACAAGATCCGAATTAAAACGCTGATTTTGAGTAGTAGTGGTTTGACACACAGTAATCACAAAAATTAATTTTTAAAATAAAAATTACACATAAATTGTCCTGTTTATAAATACTTGAATTAATTACATAAGAAATGTGATTGGTTGGTTTTTGATATAAATTAAATTTTAAGATATGTTAGAATTTATTTTAACACGGTTTTATTGTGCTGCTGCGGTAAAGAATTTTTCCTTCGATATTCCCGATAATTTTTCTATTGTTTTGTGATATTTTAAAGTTAATGCAGAAATGTGGAAAGGAGATGAAAAGTTTGTTTTTGTAATTGCTTTAGATAAACTGAAGGAAAAACTGGAAACACTTAAATGAACTGTATTAAATAAACAAACTGTATTCATGTAATGTAAAAATAAAAAAAATTCCAAAAAATAATTTCAAATTGTAGACAAATTTTTATACTCTGAAATAATTCCATTAGACAAATTTTTATTTTAAAAATTATTTGTAATTTACTCAAAAATTAATTTTTGTGATTAGTGTGTGTCAAACCACTACTACTATCGTGTAATGGTATAGAATAGATCCCTGATGCCGATTTCCAGTCATAATGCTTCTTAACGTTTCTTAATAGCTTGAAAACTGTAGGATTGCGTCGATATACTACACTGAAATCATTAGCCTTGGCTGTTTCTTTATGTATTTGTCTCAAAAACGGGACGTAATTTAAAACCATGTTTTGTCTATGATCTACTGTGGGATGCCGTTGTTTAGTTGTTTGGAAGGTTGTAATAAGATTCTTTATGATTTCCTTTTGGTATCCCTGTTGTTCTGCAATCTTTAGAATGTAGTTTA